AGTAAACGATGAAGGTCATTTACGTACAAGAGGAATAACACTGGCCCCAAAACGGTTCCCTGGGGCACTTCACTAGGCACAGTTTACCAGCTAGATAACTTTGAGTTCACTAGTACTCTTTGTTGCAGCCCAATCAGAAAGTCTTTTATCCACATCAATAGGTTGCCTCCAATTCAGACATTTCTTAGCTTATATAACAGCCGATTGTGAGGAACTTTGTCAATAGCTTTTGTGAAATCAATGTAGGTTACGTCTACATGGTAACTTTTGGTCCTTAAGAGCGCATCAGATTTTACGGGCGACTAATAAGTTAGTGAGACAAGAATAACCTATTCTGAAACCGTGCTGCTTCCCCGAAAGGATCCGGTTTTCATCAAGGTACTTAAACAGCTCCTACCGAATAATTTTTTCTAAGATTTTACCAACCACACTAGTTAGACTAACAAGTCAGTAATTCTCAGGTTTATGTTTCGTACCTGTTTCGAATACAGGACTTACTATGGCGTTCTTCCAGTCTTTTGGTAAACGACCATGCGTTACGGATAGATTAAAGCATATACTCAAAGGGTTCGGAGCAAAGTTAGATACTTCAGTAGTAGCCTAGGATGCAATTCATCGAGCCCCGTGGACTTACCTATGTCAAGCTTATTCATCAGACCAAAGAGATCAAGTTCTTTAATGGTCATGCTATCCAGTGTGTGTGGGGGGATTTGTATGCGCTGACGGGAAGGGTGCTTCCATGGTATATACACTGCTAAAATGATGCGGCAGTATTGTCTCCCCACAGTGCAGAAATATTTCCTCTTCCTTCTGTCCTTTGGTTTATATAGGAATACAAGCGTTTGGGACATTCTATGGATTCCTGAAAAATGTTTTCTTCGTACAACTTTCTAGACTTACGGAGGGTCGAGGCACAGGTATTCCAAGCTTTTCGATACTGAGTTTTTGTCTCAGCGGTCCCCAGTAGCCTAAATCTTTCCAACATTTTTCTTCTCTTACGGAGAAGAACGAGAGCCTCCCTACCGAACCATGGTGGAGAGTTTCTCGGCCTGCTTGGTGTAATCCAAGGGATGTGGGGTAGGGTAGCTTTTAGGTACGTATTTCCAAATGCGTCCCAAGCTGTTTCAATCGAGGACTCTGGGTCTATTTGCCAATCTACTAGCGATGCTGAGTGAATGATATCTGGTATGTTTGCTTTCCAGACGTTAAGTCTGAATTAGCCTGATGGATGCTCATTTTTTACAGGTGTATGGAAGTGGAAGGTTAGGACTGCATAATTGTTTTTACTTATGGGTGGCATGTAATCGCGGTTCGTGACGTCATCCTTATAATCGGTCAGTATAAGAGCTAGTGAGGGTGAGTCCGGGTCGTACGGAGTCGCTTTTTTCACATGTTGTATTAGGGCACATGTGACAACCGCACCAAATAGTTCCTGCTTGAAGGAATTTTCTCTGACAATTCAATTTTCAGATTTTTCCAGTCTACCGTGGGTGCATTAAAGTCTCCTAGACATCGACCACTTTGTGACCAAGTATTGAAACTGTTTAGCAAGACCTCATTTACTTGGACTGCGGTAAACCAAACCAATCGATAGCTCTTGTCCCTTGGAATGCAAGGGTTAAGAGTAATAATTTACACGTTCCACTCTCATTGGATACATTGAAGATAATAATAAATGAGATAGTATTCCTGATGAATAGAGCTACTCCCCCTCCTTTACGCTTCAGGATTCTGTCGGCTCTTACTAACGTGAAACAATCAAAATCAAATTCCTTACTATCTGTAAACCGCATCAGCGAATTTTCCGTGACTGCGATTGAAACTTTAAGTGCGCAGTAATCTGTTTTTGACCTTGAACTGACATTTGTCCCGTCCCTTGCAACTAATTTGAATGAGTTTCTGCGTAACGTCTAGACATATCTATGTCGTTGTCTCATCGCTTCCAGCAATTTCACTGATAATATGTGTTCTTAGATGTATGACTACGAATCCATGTAGTTGGTTTGATTGCACAGTAAATTGATTTATCACAACGGGAACTTAGTCTTTTTAGGATACCAATTACTTACCATCTGTAAGTGCTGCTATTGCTGGTAGTGGACCTCACAGGGTAATATGGATACTATCAATTCTAATTAGTTCGACTTTGCGGCTGTTAATTCTATTAAATAGTTACATAAATTCCTGTAAATTCTCCGATTCATTCTCAGGCGGAGACCATATGTGTATTTCTAACATGCTATATATTTCAAGTTTTATTGAAATATTTTCACTCAATATGCTTAGCATTGTTTCTGCATCTGATAACTACAGTGAGCGTCAACTTTACAACAATTCCTTTCAGTTCAGCACCGCAATTACTTCTGTGCCTTTGCTTTGTTCTCGGTGGTCTACATGATAACAGATGTTTACGTATTACAACTTAAGCTTAAGACAACTGAAAATGCTTTTCTGGTAAGAATAATTCAACCCAATTTCTAAAAACAACTTAACTTGATTGCCAATAATGAAATATGTATCACGTTTTTCTATTCGGTCTTGCCAGTGATTTAACTTTGAGAATTTCATCCGACGGTGTTGTCATTTAGTTCAGTGGTTTGCTCACATAGTTGAGCTGTTTATTGAGCGTAATTAAAACCACGAGTCTGGTATTATAGGTGGTCAATAGAGATGTTCCATATTTCCTACTGATTGACTTTCAGGCTACAGTGATGATAATAAAATGCTAGGTAACATTAAGTTAATATCTCTCGAATAACCGAATAGTGAAAAAAGTCTCGAAATACCAGGGTGTGAATATTTCTGTCGTGACTTTCGAGTTCCTGTGAGTAGCTAGCTATACATGAATGAAATCATCTAGTGTACGAGGCCTCGATATAACTTCCCAACATACTGTTAGACAGTTAGCACAAGAAGGAGAACACCAAATTCAAAGCAGTTACTTCAGTGGTACTAATATACAGAAGGCGACTGCATATAAGGGTATGATGCGGGAGGAAAGAATTAGTTTGTAGAAAGAAAAGTATAAAGTAATTTTAATCTCATGGTTTGCTCGCAGCTGATATTTCCCCTTTTGCTGAGGCGTAATTGCTTGGGCAGGTATACACTCCCACCAAGACCTACGTTTTAGACGGTCGATTATCCAGGACATATTTACGAAGTATAATTTACCTTGGCAATTACCTTCTTTGTACAAATGTGTACTAAGCCGCTTTCAACGTCACTCTACGGATGTAACGAGTTCCTGATGTAAGTTTAAATAACACCCAGGTAAGGTTTAAAAACATCGAGAAGACAATTTTAGACTTAACGTTCAAGTATTGCTTTCACAAATTAAATTAACATCTATAGCTTTCAGTAAACTGTGAACACACATCAACTTGGTCTAAAGTATTTTCTTGATTAAAACTGAAATGCTGCCATTAATGCGTTTTTATAAACAAGTTTTTCATGTGATTAGATTACACTGTATACGTGTGAACAAGATACGTTGAAGGTGAGTCACAACGAAGTCGAAGGCGCTTGTAGGAGGTAATATACCTGAACTTTTAGTCATGAAGTGTATGTTATGGCTTCTTAACTTCCAACCATGTATGCACATGTCTTCTTGAATCATTTGCCTTACATAAATGTTTCATGCACCTATATTTTACTATCTAAATATACCGATGATTTTATCGTTTTCCAGAGTAACATATTACGAAAGAAGATATATCTTATGGCGTTTTACTTAATTTGTCTGTTGATTCTTGCGCTGTGTTACTGGATTCACATGACATTTTGTACTCCATATGGTACGTTTGATAAACTACAGTACCTATCTAATATTTTAGTTATTTTATTCATCGTAGGGAAAATTCTCAATAGTTCTCTCTGTGTAGTGTAAATGTGATTTTTTTATTTAGGACCTTAGTGATACCAAGCGCGTTTAAATGAGCATAATTTCCATTTCATCCGGTTAATTGCTCAACCTAAATGGTGTTACCACTTTTTGACTACCAGTTGATAAGAAGTAACGCGGCGAACAGATTTTCAATCTGAATGTGAGAAAATGGTTCTCTTAATACTAATATGATATTTAGTAAGGACCGTAAAGCAATCCAGAACTGTGTAGTAATCTTGATTTTTTTTACGAAGTTAATCCACTGGCTAACAAATTTACTATGAATCTTGAAACTAAGTAGTTTACTCTGTCCATTTGAATTTATATCCATGGATATTCATGATGAGTAATCACTTCTAAGAGAGGAAAGAAGCTCCAGGAGAAGATGGGTTCTACCAAATGGCGTGGTTGAGTGGTATATGTAAAAGAACAATCATATTTATAGTGCATATACTTTAAAATTAAGTTCTAAACACAAACGTTTGTGGAACAGCCTATACCTGAAAATAAACTATCTTTGTTGAGTTTATTAAAAGCCAAATACAAACCGGTATCAGTCTCAAATGCTACACTATATTTACAAAGGCGTGTGCAACTTGTCCACTCGCTTTATCGTACGAATAGCTTTCAAATTTTCATTCAAAATTCACAAGTAAATTTTGATCCATTATTTTAGTAACAACTCATCCATCTTTGATGTTTCTATTCTAGTTTATACTATATTTTCTGCAGTTGAATATGCTGCAATATTTGCAAACATTTTTTATCACTATACAACCTCCAATACATTTGAAGATATATCAGTGAGGAAAATGATCACTTACTTTTCCACCGGTCGAACTATTCCGTTCGTAAATATGAAGTCAGAACTACCATTGTTGGAAGTAAAATGAATAATTGTTTTTCGAATAGAATTTTATTTTATTTGCTATCATTCTTATGTACGTGAGATTATACAACCCATTAAATTACATAAAGCGTATTTTGTTAACTGTATAGTAACGTCGATGAAATACAAATTTTCATATAATCTAAGTGTATATGTGTTACGTCATTGATCCGTTTGCCCACTAATGTACAGGAGATAATTGTCTCAACCTAGTTTAAGGTTTTGAGGCTGGAGAATGCGTGAGTTCAACTGTGGCTGGAGGGTGTTGGGAACAGAGAAAAGAAAACTTTTATAACTGACCTATTACCTGATTATTAGGTTAACAAGACAGGAAAGAGAAGAATCGGACGGAACATTACTCAATTTACTCTTGATCTAGTTAGATGTATGACTAGAAAGACTACAACTATGTTAGGTTTGAAGCTTTACGAGTTCACTTAGTCTGCGAACGAGAACAAGACTCAGTGACCAAAGACCAGTAATCTAGCTATTCATGCGTTCCAGCCCTGCTACCTAGAAGGAGAAGTTCAAGCTTGGTATGGGAAATATATTCTGCAAAACAGCCAGAAAACGAGAGAGCCCAAAAACAATTTAAAACGTGTATATATATATAATCGATATTGTCATGGGAAATTTTTAAACATTAATCAATGAGTTCATCAATTGACTGCTATTCAATCATTTGATCGATATGATAAAATTACAAATATGAGTTTTGGGGATACATCGTCCCCAACAAACTCACAAAAAATAAGAAAAAACAGTTTCGTCCAATCTAGGGCATTAGAGTGGAAAAATGGAGTGCAAAGGTTACGTCAGAATTCCAGTAATTTTGGAATAGAAAAGATTATAGTGACATATACGTTACACGAAAGCTTCCAACATAAAATAAAACAGGGACAAAACTAAATGTTAGTACTTTAGAGACTTTGAACTAAGTGAAGCGATGTCCTAGGAAATAACTTCCGTTGTTCAATATCGATTTTCTATTTCTCTTCACATCAATAAGTTAACACTTAACAATAACGCAATAGGAACACTAACTACTACTAGGTATCAGTAATGATCTAAAGTATGATAATAAACTGAGACGTGTAAACAAAAACAAGTTGAAAGATAAGTTTAGGGAATTCATTATTTGTAACAGCACAAAGAGTAAAGAAATCTCTACCTTCAGTCATTATATGATGTCTACAATCGCTGTATTTTTGTGTCCATTTTAACTGGCAGTAGACGACGACCGGGCGAACTTATACTAATAAAACCTCGTCATTTCCAACTACTCCTCAACATTTCGCGCTGCTCGTGACGACGGTTTTCTTCGATATATACCCTGATAATGCCACTACTATCTCTTTTAAAATTAAAAAGAATTATCATTCCATTATGCTTTTATTGGGAAATCCTTATAAATCATAACCTATGACACACGTATGCTAAAAGATGAGTTCAATGACAGTACAGGAATGACTCGTTGTGTTTCTGTTTGAATATATATTTGTAAAGAACATCTGACGAAAAATCGTTACTGTTACAAGTGTATTTCAATAAATAATCATAAGTGGGAGGTTTTATTTGCTTTACCCAAGCTGGAGTCTGCAGATTGTGACAGCTGATGTAAACTCTGAAACAATTCACCCAAGTTATATGAAAATAAATGTCCTAGATATTTTAACAAGACTATTAATTAGAGGTTATCAATAAAGGTTCATGGTAAAATGTGGTACATTACACATATTATTCAGAAGCTTATTTAAAATCACTTCCATAAATCGGTACGATATCGTCCTTGCTTTCGTAGGTTTAGTATGTAGCTGGTTGCAGCTTCTCTTGTTAATTTGGAATGTCGTACTACTAATTCGATTAAACACAATTGCATGTCACGCACCATACCAGCGGCATCCCTAGAAAACATGTCGAAAAGCATATTTAGTTCAGACTAATAGTTAAGATAAACAGTTGCGCAAGTGATCCCTATTATAAACCATCTAAAGTTATCTAAGGACCATTGGTTAATCTCGCTTAATGGACATAATTTGAATGACATTGATCAGTGAGCTATGAATAGAATTCCGATAACATAGATAAACTAGATCTTTCAAAAGGCTTCCGAATATAAATAGGACACATTTGAAAACTTGGTTAGTTAGAAGTAATTTGTGGGATTTAAAACTGGTAGCTCAAAATAATCATATTAGTAAAGCACCTCCGGCGTGAAAGAAGTAAAAACTGAATAAAGCTACGTTTGATAGGAAAATATTGGACTATATGAAAAGGATAACCAATTTAAGTGACCTACAGAAATCTAAATGTTGTTAAGAAAAAAGACTCATTACCAAATTGCGAATGACTTGACGTCTATCATCTTGGGACGCTTTGTGAATGTGGCATATGAAAATAGCGTTCATAAACTTGAGATTCAAGTTGTGCGAATGATGCAATTTTGGTGAAAGTAAATACATGATGAGTCTTAAAAGGTTAAGAAAAGCTTATAGCCTTATGAGCTTTATAAAGTTTTAACAGACTGTGTTTAATATTTATATGACGTTGAAGTGAAATTTTCAAAAAATCTAGTGTAAATAATACTTTGCAGACCAATGTACATACTTTTTTCCGTAATCAAATACATAATACAGATACCTCACAACACCTACCGCAAAATGACAAATATCAGCATTTCTTCACAACACACTTCAAATGTTGTTGAGCAAAGTTCAAAATTACTTACCCACATACATAAATGTACGCATAACATTCATCCAAAAGTTTCCACACCATGTTACCCATCTCAAGCATCTTATGCTGAACATAAACTTTATTACCATCGGGAGAGTCACGTGAGAAAGCAGTAAACATTTCAAGTAGGCCAGTAGAACAGGCTTGTTTTAATTCATCTGAGTAAATAAAATCTTCATTTTCATGCCGGCAACCGAAAAATAATACCATCTGTCCAGTCTTGCCAACTAAAAAATAGACATGCATGGTATATCGTAAAGAATAGTGAACAAACTGATAAAATACGACTAGCTGCAAACGTAGACAGATGTGTCAGATTTGTGGTGTGCAATTACACTAGGCTGGATTTCACTATTTCCAATCGTCCTAATAAATTCAAGAAAAGGTTACTCAGTACGTAATAATATATTTCTCTGGTTAGGTTTTTTAAAATAGAACTATGATAAATTTAGTCACTAAAACTACAAATAAAACAGCATTAAACGTTTATAGCTTAACATCGATTTATATTAACTATAGATTTTCGAATTCGAAGTCTGTATTTTATGAGCTACATAATATAATCACATAAGAATATCATCTTCAGTATTTGATGGCGACTATCTGTTATATCCGAGCGAAGATTAAATCAGGGGTAACTTCTGAGACATTAATTGACTAATATTATCTATATATTCTTATGGTATAACTATTCAACAATGAGATTATGTATATTTATATTCCTCTTATTATAAGCTTTATTTTGACCTAGAATTTATTATTGTACGATTTACGGTTCTTAAGCTATGTTCAGTTTATTGACTACTGCCTCGCACGTTCACAGCCACATTTGGCCAAATATTGTACAAATGTTATTTTCTATTTTATGGTACGTTGTGGTCTGTCTGGTTGATATATAAACCGAGTATGCTTGAAATAAATGATTCATATTGCAGAAGCTGGTATTGTGTTCTGGACTCAAATGGACGGGCTAGGCGGACATAGGACCAATAAGGACGCTAGACTGCTCATACCGTCGAAGGTTATTGGTTTGACACAGTGCTAAGATTGTATAAATCGTATTTTGATTGACGGATAAATCACGTGATAAAAAGCTGGACATAAAATCATAACACGATCAATTAACTGAAAAGTAATCAACTTCTCTGTAGCTGGTGACATTTAAATAATCATTACAAAACAATCCCGATTTTAAGTAAGCAAGTTATAAAGTGAATCCAATTTTGATAGGCTATTGTTATTACCATCATTTAGACTATAAAGTGAGACAATTAAATCAAGACGTTCCCACTTTATAACATCTAAACTAAAAGAATTGATTTGGATAAAATTCACACCCTAACGCAGTTAAATTGAACACTTGACTTCGTGTAACTTATCACGCGCGTTTCTATCAGGAAAATGTTGACAAAGATGTGGGCACTCCTGATGAATTCCTTACTTCTATCGATAATTATCACCAGATACAGCATAAATACTATTTTAAACAATATCAAGACACATGTACAATAATCCCGTATGGTAAAATAGAATGGTCAAGCTGGTCCCAAAAGTGTAAGAAACGGAAAATCACAAGCTTCAGTGACAATAGTAGTGTCTCTCCTATAAAAAAGCACCAATAATTTTAGATTTCATGACTAATTATCCACAAATCCTAGGAGTTTGAATCTAAACATTTAGTTGGCCTAAGCTACAAATATAGAACTCATATATGTGGTAATGATTTTCTACGAAAAATTATAATAAATCAATGGATTCAAACTGCGGATCACCTTTATCCTGAGCCATCTTTACGCGCTCTTGGATAAATGCACGGAATGGAGCCAGTCCTGTCCCAGAAGCTATCATAATGACTGGGATTTTACGACTCCGCGGCAAGTTAAAATTACTGGTATGAATCGCGACAGGTATTTTCAAATGTCGCTGAGTGTCTGTTGTCTGCAATGATTTCAACCAGTTGGTAGCTAGTCCTTTGAATATTCGTCCTGAATATACAAACAACAAAACAATGATACCAGAAAAGATTATTTTGATACATCAGGAAAAATTAGAAATATTTTTACTGTGCTATAATATGCCCAATATTCGTAAAACAAATATTTGAATTAAATTTTAAAAAATAATTCACTTTGCTTATCAGAAAGTTAATGGAAAGTAATTATTTTGGTAACTGACTGACAAATTATTTTGGTCACAACAGCGTGAAACTCTTCAATAATAGTGAAGAGCCGAGAATCCAACTAAATAATGATATAGGAATTTTAAATTGTTGAACCAACTCTTTTCAGTGACTTACAAGGTTTATCAACGTTTATCATACCTACAAAAACTCCAATTATATTTCAACTAATAGGTGCATTTTTGGTAAAAGCCTTATTAAGACACTGAATACTTCAACTACTGAAATATTCAATCCATTTATTCTAAAACCGGGTCTGTTATAAACGTTTTTCACTTTCAACGTTCGTGTCTCTATATAGATCTATCAATAAACCAGTCTCGTTATAGATCAATGGTATTGATACGTGCTGTATCTCACGTTTAACAGACAAATAAGCTAATATTAATGTGCTATCCAACTGTCATCTTAAAAGTAAACTTTATTTACGCTCACCAGGGTCACGTACCATTGAAAATTTAAACAAGCTAAATCAAGCACCAAAACCGAATGCATAAGAATCCACTAGAGCTAATATGAACACTGATATGATGTTAAGGTAGAAGGTTACATTAACAGGCAATACGAATGGTATGATGATAGTTGGTCTTCTTAATGTACATCGCAAAGCATAACAACCCGGATGCTATTATATATGAATTCGATCACCGACTGGTTAATCACACCCGATCGAAGCTGCTACCTTGACGCGGTGGTCGGGCTTGCCTATCGTGATGACCCAACCGAGCTATATTGGCTAGAACATATGTTTCTGTGGGTTCTACCATGCCAGGCAGGTCGATTGGAGAACGGTAAGACTAAAAGCAGCATCTCAAGGTTTGAGGGTGAAGTCGTACTGCTGACTGTAGAGGGGTGCGACAGCAGTAAAGTGTTTCCCTCGGACAACCAGCACCTGCAGCGATGCTGCCTTCCCACAAAGAGGGGTGGGGTTGGAAAAGGTCGACCCTAAAAATGTCACACCTCACCTTACCTCATGGATTTCCGTCTCCAGCGGTAAGGCCCTTTGCAAACGGAGCTAACACATTAAAAACCTTCCACGAAAAGGCCGTGCGTGACCAGCCTCAGACAGTTATCTCTTGGGCTCTGCGGTCACGCTCCCAGGTCGTCAAGACCAACACTAATCCAATTTCCTTTTCAGGTTCCTCAAGAAATACCCTTCCACGGTGTGGGCAGCCGGGAAGTGACATCAGCCCTCATACCCGTAACAGCACACGAGACCAAGTCGATCACATTCAAATCCTTCCTACACTTCCTAATACCTCTCTTATTTCCATAAGTAACCCTCCTCACGTCTCTTTATCATCTCGCACCGCTAGGGCAAACGATTCGAGTACGTGGAACGCTATTCCTGGTCTCCTGAAACCACGCTCTAAACTACACGTAGGAGTTTCTAATGTTCTACCACTGTGCCAAATAGGACAACAGGCTTCCTTAGCTAGGACTTTAGAATCCCGCGCCATCGATGTGTGCTGCGTCTCCGAAACGCGCATACAGGATCCGAGTAGCGTCATTCATCTGACCTCACGATGTCAAAATAAAGAACCGACTCGATTCACACTTCGTGTATCTGGAAGCCCTGATTCTGCCTCCTGTGGCCTCACCGGCGTAGGTATAGCATTGAGTCCCAGGGCAGAACTAGCTCTCTTAGAGTGGATCCCAGTAGACAGTCGTTTATGTGCTGTCCCACTGAACGGAACACTAAGGATCCAAAAAGATAGGGACACTCGTCGTTGCCTCTTCGTCGTCTCTGCCTATTCTCGCACTGACTGCAGCTCAGATGATGTGAAAGATGAGTTTCACAGAAAGCTCTCCGACCTCCTCCTAAAAGCTAGGCGCTCGGATGTAGTAATAGTGGCCGGTGACTTTAATGCTCAGGTAGGTAGACTAAGCGATAGGGAAAGACACCTGGGTGGATCTTATAGAGTCGTGACTCAAAGAACAGATAATGGCGACCGTCTGTTGCAGTTATGCTCAGATAACCGCCTCTTTCTTGCAAATACTAACTTTAAGCATAAGGAAAAACATCTTTTAACATGGAGACCCCCTAATTCGTCCCAACGCTGGACCCAACTAGATCACATCGCTATCAGCCACCGATGGGGAGGCTCGATAGAAGACTGTCGTTCATTCTGGAGCACATGCTTAGATTCAGATCATGCTCTAGTACGAGCGCGTATCTGTCTGCGTCTTACTGGACGTAGGAAAGATGCTGCAAGTAAACCTTATAGGGCCCTACTTAATGATAGTCAAACTAAGAGTATATTTCAGGAAATAGAAAAACAGTTAGACAGCCATGTATGTGATGCCCACTCCGAGGTAGCATGGGATGATATCCGAAAAGCTGTGGAAACATCAGTGATATCTGCTAGTACAGTAACCCGTAAGGTTAGGGAGCAACATTGGATCTCAGCAGCATCTATCGCACTGATAGGTGCTCGGAAACTCATTCCACCTGGCTCTAAATATAATGAAGAGCCGAGTCAGCTTAAGCTTAAGGATGGTGGTTCAGTATTAGCAGTGAGATTAACTGAGGTCTTAGGTAGAATTTGGGAACTGGACGTAATCCCATCTGACTGGTCTCAATCACTAATTGTGCCAGTTTTTAAGAAAGGACAAAAGTCCTCTTGTGACAATCACAGAGGAATCAGTTTGACTAATATAGTGTCTAAAATATTAGCTTCAATAATTCTTCAACACCTAACTTAAGCTCGTGAAGAGCAGACTAAACAAAATCAGACTGGTTTTCGACCTGGACGTGGTTGTATAGACCACATATTCACACTACGTCAGGTTCTAGAACACAGACATACATTCAAACGACCCACAATGGTAGTATTTCTCGACCTTAAGGCGGCATTTGACTCTGTTCATCGTAAGGTTCTATGGCAGTGTTTGTCACTGAAAGGAGTACCAAAGAAGTACATTAACCTTATTCAGGCTCTCTACTCGAACACAACCGGTCGAGTGAGAGCTTATGGTGGACTGTCATCAGAATTGTTTACCTCAAGTGGTATTCGTCAAGGCTGTCCACTCTCTCACTTGTTGACTTAGAATATGCTGATGACATAGTTTTATTTGGCGAAGACGCTGACAAAATGCAGAGTCTTCTGACCACTCTAAGCAACAATGCAAGCATGTTTGGGATGCGATTCTCTCCCTCGAAATGCAAAATGTTGCTTCAGGATTGGCGTGCATCGACACCCGAACTAATGATAGGGAGTGAAGTAATTGAGTGTGTCGACTGCTTCACTTATCTTGGAAGTCTCATCAGCCCTTGTGGTCTGGTATGTGACGAAATCTCAGCAGGGATACAGAAGACCCGACTAGCTTTTACCAACTTGCGTCATTTATGGCGTCGGCGAGATATCCGTCTATCAACGAAAGAATGGGTTTACTGCGCAGCAATTCGTTCCGTCCTACTTTATGGCAGTGAAACATGGCCGGTAAGAGTAGAGGATATTCGTAGGTTACTAGTATTCGATCATAGGTGCCTTCGAAACATTGCTCGTATATCATGGGACCATCGAGTAAGTAACACAGTTGTTACGAAACGGGTACTAGGTAAGGATGGAAAATCAATTGATGAAGTAGTGAAACTTCATCAGTTGAGATGGCTGGGGCACGTGTTACGTATGCCCAACCACCGACTGCCTCGACGTGCAATGTTCAGTGGTATAGGAGTAGGTTGGAAGAAAGCTAGGGGCGGCCAGACCAAAACATGGCACAAGTCCATGAAGTCACTGACAAGTGGACTGAGTCATATCGGTAGGTGTAGACTACCTGGTTGGGGACCGCGAGATGATAGCAACCGATGGTTATTTTACTGTATTATACTATTTAAGTAACATCTCCAAACAATAATCTTCCTGATTACTGCTTATACTCTTATTACCTCTACCACTACGGGATTTGAATCGACCACTGCATCTCTGTGCTAATGTGGTGTGGCAACGCGAACTAAAGTACGTACGTACGAAGTTTTACGTTGTTACTGACTGAATGACTGGGTAATCACAAGTGTTTTCGATAAAAATCAAAGTATTATCTGGAGACTTGGTCAGATAAATCCGATTTCTAGATATGAAATCATTATCATGAGCTTCACACATACAAAATGCATACCAAACACTAAATTTATGCCTTGTATTTAAAAGAACTATATGTTTCATCAGTATCAATATCGTGTATACTCCAAGTTAAGCAAATCATTAATTAGTTTATTATGCAAAATAGATTATATGTATTCTCCCCTTCAAAGATCCTTAAGAATCATGAATACAGACCTGTGTTTGTTTTGTAATTTAGTATAGCAGCAGTTATATGTATTCGATCTGTATGAACTAATGAAGATGATGATATACTATACAATCTTGGTTTCAGAGGGTTCAACAATTCCAACAAAAGATCAGCTGGTGGTCGAAATGATTTTAAGTCTTGTAACACATCGACTAGTCCACGATGATCTTCTAAAATCCATTTTGAGTATAATTTCTTTAAAATTATTAGGAATGTGGAAAATAATGAAGAATAGCATATATTAGGTAATTTTTAAAAACTTTCTAATGCAAAAAAAAGACATTTACGGATATACATATACATATTTAGCAGCATAAAACTTTATTACGACCAAAAATCAAAATCCTGAAGACAACTAACAATCAACTAATCGATAAATCAGCGCTAGTTATTAGATTGATTAGCATATAGTCACATCATCATGTCAAACAAAACAGTGAAAACGCCATACTGTTATTCTAAATGTTATCTTCAAAACCCTACTTGGTTAAAGATAAATAGTGACTCTATAATCTGAACATTACATTACGAAGTATGAAACCATAGCTTTAGAGCTTACTTCAAAAAGTAACATATATGACATAATATTCTGTTTGCTTTGCTCTCTGTCACTTATGGTATAATCGTGTCTAACGTAATTCTTGTTTGGAATGCTGAGGGCTTGGCAATCCAAGTATAAAAGCTGATGAATGTTTGAGATAGATGTCGAGTAGCTGAGCCATGTATTTGAAATACTAATACTACTACTACCACTACTACTACTACTGCTACTACTGCTACTACTACTACTACTACTACTACTAATAATAATAATAATAATAATAATAATAATAATAATAATAATAATAATAATACTAATACTAATAATAATAATAATGAGTTTGACTGTTGACTTCTCTTCCAGACTCAAGGCTGGGGATAGAGAACAAATTGCAGATTGGCGACCAATAATGGTGTAGCTTACGTTAGCTCAGGGTTCATTGTGCCGGACAGAACCCTTCACTGGTTAGGGCTAAAGACGCTAGGCTGTAGTCAAGATAGCAGACAAGTTTGGAAGATTTAACATCGGAAATTTTGATTAGCGAGTTTAGCACATCATATCGATTAGCATCTGAAGATGTAAACCACGTCAGTCTACTTGACATGAACCATATTCTTAAACCATTCCCTTAGCTTTTTTATGATAAAGATTGATATTCTACTGCTTTACAGGCTTGTCCCACCAGTAGTCTGTGATTGACTTGATTTATTCCAATTATTTAATATTTCTCTGATATTCCAGACAGCAGATTTATAAATCTACTCAACGTAAGGATGCATGTGATTCACTATTCTGCTGCACAAATTGAATGGAATAACCTGTATGTTCCCTTTAAGACGTTTTATACAGAAGCAAGGGATTCCTAATAACTAGGTTATTAAAAAAATGTATTACCGAAGTCAATTTTGTTATATAGCAACATCTATCTGTTCACTGTGATAAGACTTTTACGTTCATATTACTTATAAACTTCTAAATGACGATGCAAAATCAGGTTTGTTTTAGATATATAACATTCCGCGATTACTGTTAAGTGAATTTGTTAAGTGCTAAATAAAAAAACTACATTATTATGAAGAATATTTATTTACATAAATTATAAAAGTATAGGGCTAAAACTGACAACCAATTTTCGAGTGACTGCTGAGATTATTACGTTCGCTCGAAATGTCTACACTAAACCAAACTGTAACTTCTAATTAGATGTATGGTCAGACTTGCCTATCATAATAACCGAATTAAGCTACTTTGACTGGAATAATTGTTTCGTGAGGTTTTATCATCCCAGGTTGGTCACTTGGATTAATATAAAACGAAAAGCAATGGATCTAAGGTCCTAGGTAGAAGTATTGCTATACACAAGTAAGTGGTTCTAGTTTATGAGTGTAAGATGCTGTAGTAACAGATTACGGTTTAAATAAAAGCTTGGAACTAGGGTAATAAGAAAATAATAAAACTAAGGTACTTAATGAAAAATCAGTTAATATATGTATAAATGAAATTGTAGAAAAATAGCTCCGAAAGTTTTAACCTATGTCAAATTGTCGCTTACAACAACTGCTGATTGTACAGGGATGTCATTGTAGTAAGATGTTACCATTAAGCAACGCTACCTCCCTGTAGCAGAAGGTTAGACAAGATCAGCGGTAAAAATAGCAAATCTCAGTCTACGGATTCCAGTGCTGAGGATAAGGGCTGAAAAATATGGAGCGGGTAAATCATAAACTATTTACAAAGGACTATGTTTCTCATCCTTAAACAACTGTTGTTTGTGCCGCTAAGACTACTAGTAGCCCAGTCCATTTTTACGGCACTTCAAGAAGAGATACCTCTTCACAGGTGTGTGCGACCAACAAGTGACGAATTCACACATACGTCTTACCATAAAGGCCTCAAAGTAGGACCTCTTCTATATTTTCCGGTTTCAGTTCTTCCTTCAATGTTTAAAACTGCAAAATTTCTGGGGACTAAGAAACATTTAGGTGTCTATTGCCTAAGCATTCAAATACAAGGTTTATTGTGATTAAAAGGAAGTATTATCCCAAGTAATTTTTTATGGATAGCAGTTTTGCAAGGTTGGAAAACTACTACAACCACAATAAAACTACAGATATTTATGAACTGTTGTCTACGCAAGACATTCCAGACCCATTGGTCAGGCACCGTTAGAAGTAACCCATTGTGGCAGAGGACAAAGGAGCTTCAGACTGATGAGAAAATTAGGAAAAGACGTTGGAAGTAGATAGGACACACGCTGATGAAACAATCAAAATGCACCACGAGGCAAGCCCTAACTTCAAATCTTTGAGGTCAAAGGAAAAGAAACAGACCAAAGAACATAATGCACCAGGAGTGAGAGGCAGACATCAAAAGACCAGGTGTAAGTAAATAAGTAAGTATTTTTCCAAAGTGAAAAATTTCACGAGATTCAACCAAGAGATGATGTCCAATAATAAAAACTTTTTTATTAAATATTTATTAAACAGACTATAAGTACAGCAACGGCTGTATCCAAATACTATGATGCAGAGATTTGTCGACAACAAATTGTTAACATGCATAGGGATTTAGGGTTTTAGATATATTTGTTTAAAGAAAGTCATGAAACGTTTTTTTCGTACAAACAGATAGAACATACTTTTCCATCTTCACTATCAGAAATAAGAAGCTGAACAAACTGTGATTCTTCAGGATTTGCGACTGAATCTAAGCATGCGGATAATAAACTCCTTCCAGGAGGTCCAGTAATATCAACAAAGTGCATAAATGCATGACGATAGGTACATGGGCAAGGGAAAGGATGCTTTGTTAAACTATAAGCTGATCAAATAAAATACATAAATCCATGAAGTATCAGGAATGTATAAGAAAGAGTGAAGAAACCTCACGTACAATTATAAAAAGCTATAGCCACTGTTACTACTCAAGAAATGATCACCTTCCAAAAGATCTAGTCCCTAACGTCGTAGTAATTTTCTGCTTCCTTCCTTTTCAATAGGTTTATGTCTAATAGTTCTTAATTGTATCGTCCTGAACTAAACATTTTTTATCTTTACAAACTGAGACTTTGAAATGAGGCAACTTGAGTTGGCATACTATCATCTTACATTTTAGATTACAAAGAATAGAAAATCTGAAAAGTATCTTAAATCACTTTAAAACAATGAGCGAAAACTTGATGTGAGTTGTGTAACTATGTAAACAATTTAATGATCTTAATCGACTTTGTTTCAACACGAGTCTCAACTCAAGAAACATTTTCTGTACATTTAACCACTCAGTATAAGGAACAATGTATCAAACAGAGAAGGATCGTTAACGTGTACGTGAACTAATGGTACAACATACCTTAATAAAATTGTAACTGATTGATTACTGAATGAAACTTAAATGACTAAACTAACGGAATGCATCTATTTAAGAATTTATGAACTATCTAGTGATTGTCAGTTAGTGGGTACAGCGCACAAATATAATTATTAAAAAATCTAAGAGTAAATGCAACCTAAAAGTTCAAATACTAATCATAAACGATATGGAAGATTGTCACCTATTTTGTTTTGCAGCTTTTTGAAAGTAACATTTACCTTGGTTCGTGTTCGTTTAACTGTGGTATGGAATGTGAAACATAAATTTCAATTTTAATGAAAAACTTACGATAAAACAGTGCTGGAAACACTTACGATCAACAGCATCTAAACTAATCATTTCATTCAAATCAATGTTTAAGAGATCACCAATTTTTTCGACAAGATCTAAAGGGTTTGGTGCAAATATTGCAATATGATCACCAGTTTTATATCTAATACGAAAAAAGAAATTACTAAATAATACAATTTATGAAATTGACACTAACAATATATATACCTGTTGATTCTAGATAAAACGGTTAACATTTTATGTTGATATTCTTGGTTATGATATAATTTCAGTTCATTTAATTTTATAAAACTTAACACTCCTAAAACAAAAAAAATTCCAACAGACAATAGGATGCCACCTTAATGAAATAGTAACTATTAAAAATGCAAAAAAATACAATCGGAAATATAGGGGGTTGTACATTATGAAAAAAAGTGAGTGATTTTCAAAAGAAACCTTTGAAGAACGTTAAAATAACAGTTCTGCTTCAGTCTGAGCAGCCGGACAGTATCACAGCCCACATAAAAATCAAGTAACTTTTGTGGCGTATATGTATTCGGTGCCTCTTTGTACCAATATTTGTGTTCAAATAAATAAGATAACAGCTGTTTAATGATAAACTTTTCATCTTACATTAAGACAAGAACATTGAAATCCCGCTGTTGATTGCTTTTTTTTTAAAAAAAAGGATAGACGCTGTTAAAGTTTTAAAAATTGAGACTACAAAGTTAAGAAGTGCTTTTTCAAAGGGCCTGTTTACTAAATGCCATTGTTAATTTAACTAGATAAGTGTAATCAGGAAGTCAAGGGCTGACAACAAAATGGGAGTATAGAAAACTATAATCAACATTATTCTTAAGACAATTGGAGCTATATCAATCAAAAACTGTGGTTATTTTATTCAATTAGTATTTCTTATACTTACACAGAAATTAAATAGGCATTTTCTTTAAGAAACGTTTGCACATACTATCGTCAACAAATGTATACCAGGCAAACTTTAGGATCGAAAGGATTAAACCATTTCCTCACAAAACAACTAACTGCTGCAGGAGAGATGTCTATCTCTAATTGAGAAAAAGAGTATATTAAGCATAAGTCTACTATGCCTTTCTGTTTGATTGTAAAATACTAACAATCAATTACGTGTCTTCGTGGGACGACCGCGTGAAAAGTGTTGAGGTTAGGGTAGTATATGAAGACGGTAGGTCGGTTGTGAATCTCCAACAGCTGAGGTGGTTTGGAAATTTAATGCGTCTGACTAACCACAGTCTAGTCCGATAGGTGATGTTAACTGGTGCAGAATCAGGTTAGGATGAAGCTAAAGACACCTAAACTATATATAAATGCCCCTAAATGCCGTACTATGGCCGAGAGTGGGGAGAGTCCGCTCTCCCTCTCTCGAAATGCTCTCAGATGGTTACGTACATACAACTACTCTCAGGGAAGTCCTACTCACTACATTCCCGCAGCGTGGGTTTCACTTACGAAAACGAGAACGAAAAGCAAATGTCCGGCGCTTTAACCATGTTGGTGGATATGGAGGATCCACCAAGGGGGGTTGGCAAATACTTATTCTAAACCAGTGGTGCACATGAACTCCAAGGTCCTAAGGAAACAAATGGCGTATGAACCTATTGTTAGTCACCGGCTACCATGGGACTGCATGTCCTGACGTTGCTCTATTGTCTTGTGGACTAGATCTTTAAGTCGAAGGGTCCGGGTGTGGCCTCCTAAGATAACTACGTGCTTCGGACTAGGCACCCGGGCAGTATCACAGCCCTCGTGCAAATCGAATGATTTATGTGGCGCACATCTATTTGGTGCCTCCTTGTACTAATGTTTATGTGTTTATATACTAGATAATTATATATATATATATATATATATATATATATATATATATATATATATGCTCGATTCTACGTCATCTTTAACTGACCAACCTGCGAACGATTCTGTCAGAAGATATCATTTTATTCGTTACAGTTGACTAATGTATAAAATTCTGGAGAAAACACTACATGCTGCTTCAATACAATTGCTATAAAGTTTCCAACTTCATATTCTTTCAATTAAATAACCGTAGCTAATTGATGTGACATATACAGATAGAAAGCTGAACAATAAACGCTAGATTTTTAAAATAACATTTTTCAAGTTATATGAAGTCAGAAATAATAGAACTACATAGTTGCTGGCAGCATTGATTAATCAATATGAATGCTAAATAAGAAGTCCAATTCAGTATTTTTTTTCACGATGTACCTCTTCACCACAAAATAAGATCTGACCAAAAATCGATACGGTAATTAGAATTCTATCATTAAAGCAAATATAATAAAAATAATTAATGACGTATGGCGACTAAACTGAAGAACCTTGAACTAGAGTATCAGTGATAATGAACCTTAATGTTCAATCTACACTGTAAACTATAAAAATAATTCCATTTTCATATTAGAAACAATAAAATGGTGGTGAGAATGAATAATCATACCTAAGTTGAGAAGCAGAAACATCCAATTCAATGTGGCGACAAGAACGTGAACTTCCATGATACAATTCTTGATTTCTAACGACAGAAGCATAGAAATAATTGTCGTTTTCATATGGTCTAAAATTTAATTCACGTCATATGAATAAGATACGGTAAGCCTGAAAAAGTATGGCACTAACTTCTTTTTTATCTTTGTAATTTATTAATAAGTCTGAATAGAGTACAAACAAAACGTTTGGATAAACAACATTGTCAAAAACAACTCAAAATGTTTTACTAATTCTGAATAAGTTTTAAGATCACATAAACTGTTGAATCACAGATGAAAACCGTGATATATTTTAGCTTCACAAGTCAATTATAATGGTTGTTAGATCATCTAAAACCTAAGAGAAAACACTGGTCTGGTAAATAAGGTAAACCTGGAAAAGCTATCTAACATGAGGATTTTGTACGTTATGCAACAAAATTGTGAGTTCAGCTGGCCCATAGTCACAACTCATTTACCCACTTTCCTCAAGCAACCTGAAGACCTTCAATCACTAGTAAAGTTCAAAAGGTTGTAAGTAACCTGAAGCAAAGGGGAGCACCAGGGCCTTATAGATTAACCCCTGAAACTTTTAGGGATGGTGGTCAAGTTTAGACAGTTAGATTAACTGAAATCTTAGCTAAAATCTAGGAACTAAACATAAGCCCACCTAAATGGTCTCGATCGTTGATCGTCCCAGTCCGTGAGAAAGGACGAAAGTCCTCTTGCGACAATCACACAGGAATCACTTTAAATAATATAGTGTCTAAAAGATTAGCCTCAATAATACTTCGACGTCTGACTAGAGCTAATGAACAACAAACCCAAGAAAACCAGGCTAGTTTCAGATCTGGACGTGAATGTATAGACCGAATATCTACACTTCGGCAGATTCTGGAACATAGATAACCTTATCGACGTCCGACTATAGTTGTATTCGTTAACCTTAGGGCAGCGTTCGACTCTATCGATCGTGAGGTTCTATGGTAGTGTATATCGTTCAAAAGCGTACCAAAGAATTATATTAACCTTATACAGGCTCTCTACTCGAGAACTTTTGGTCGAATAAGAACGTCTGACGAACTGTTGTTGGAAGTGGTTACTCCAAGGGATGTTTGTCAGGGTTGTCCGCTTTCTCCATTTATATTTAACCTTGTCGTAGACATCCTTTTGAAGATAACACTTTCATCATCCGACTTTACAGGACTCGATCTTCTACCAGGAGATTCACTTGATGACTTCAAATACGTAGATGTGGTTCACTTAGGTGAAGACGCTGATGAATTTCAGTCTTCTGAGCACTTTAAGTAACACTATGGTCATGCTTCGGATATGGTTTTCTCTCTCAAATGTAAAATATTACTTCAGGATTATTGATTTGTTCGAGTGATTCATCTTTGTCTAACACATGTTTGAGATCACTGAAGTCCTAGTTTTAAAGAATACAAATCATTCGTGTTCACGAATCCAATAAATTATATGATTGTCAGCTATCAAAACTCTGAAGAACGTCCAGATATAAAATGGAAATGATAGTTATTTGATGCATCTAACCAAAAGCACTACAAATAAACTACTAAACCATGACCCCCTCCGCTCAATAACGGAAAACATTTGCACTGATTTAATAGGCTTAGTATGTCAAACATATCGTCTACTTTTGAGATTACCTTCAAAGTCACTTTACATTAGAGGATTTGATATCACTCCTTTCATTTTGTCCTAACTTTCCTTGCATTATTTCTTTTGTTTAATGGCACAACAAGGCGGAAGTTGAAATGATGTCTATCGGCATGGCATACAATAATGTCAGAATGAGATTAATAACATTTTTTAGTCACTTGGGTCAAAAACATAAGTCATTGTTTGTAAAACCTGTATAATTTAACAATATTACTTACAAGTAACTATTATTTTGTCATATAATTTATCTGCTCGCATTTTACTGTCTAAGAAAGACTTAACTTTCTTTAATTGATTATTATTTGTCAGAGTACATGAAGGCAGTTATTTTACATCTACTTAGTAATAAAAAACCACTGTCCGTTGATAGTTTCACTTTGAAGGCAAGTTTGTAACGAATGTCATGTAACAGTTTAGAGATCGAGACAAAATCATCAGAAAAACAGAATATTTGAGTGCACAACCATTTTCAATAACTTCATCATCAGGCTTTACAAATAAAACATTTCGGGTGTAGTTAAACCTTAACCGACACAAAAGTTTATTATTTTCAACATGGAATAGTTCAATTAACTTTCTCATGTATATGTTATTTTGCAATTGTAACACAAGACTTATAAAAACATGGGGTCAAACTCGTCAGGGGATATCAGTCCCCCAAGACTGAACGTACACCTTGCAGGCGAGTCCCAAGTAGCACAAAACACAAGTCCAGAGTTTTCTCTTGAATACCTCAAACCACCACCTTACATAAATATAAATCTAATACCTGATGAATTTATTGAAAACAACTATCAACTCAATCAATAAGTTTTTAATTTCACATATTTGTTCAATATTATTGTAGAATTGCATGAACATACATTTCTTTCAAGTTAGGATCATGTTCTATTGTGTTTTCATCTCGTTAATGATACCAAAACTAATCTATGATTATGAACATCAAAAACGGCGAATAAACATGGCATTTACCATGAATTCTCATTCAAAAAAGTTAGTCTACTGTGATTTTTAATTAACGAACCCCGTAGGATAAAAATATATATGCGGCGCAAAAGTACATGTGCAAGCAAGACTACGAATTAATTTAAGTTGGATCTTGAGATCGCTAGACTCCAACTCAGAGGTGTGTAAACAATGCGCTGGCAGAAACCGGATGGTCCTAGGTTGTTTTTGACTTTGTCGCGTACGTGTAAACACTGTCGAGTCTTTGTATACTAGAATGAACGAGATAGCTGTCCAGCACTTCCTAGGTTTTTAATGACTGATGTCATTACGTGGTGGAAACTACAACAAATCGATCATACCTTCAGAAGCAACTCAATTTATTATTACAGTTTTGTTTCGTAGTTGTTTTAAGAATGATAGAAATTTCTGTTAGTATTCGATGGTGAAAGATACTGATTTACTCTTTAGTGACGATAGTAACAGCTTAAGTCTACTTTTGAAGGATACCCTGATGGAAATTATTAATATACAGCTTAAACTGGTTATTTTGCAATTCTGAGTCTGAATGGTTATAAACAACTTTAGTGCTTAAAAATGAAAACTTACAACGTTTCCATAACGTCAGCCTTATTTATAAACATATCCACAAAGTGCGAAACAAGCGGGACATTCCAGTTAATACATTTTAAAGAGTATATTCGTTTATACTGTTTGTTTAAGTAATTTCTATCATGGTCATTTAGATTAAAAAAGTCGATCAATAACGAAGTTAAGTGACTCCTCCAATTTATAAACGTAGATTCTAATTCATCCACTTCATCTCCCAAAGTCAGTGGTTGTAAACGTTTACCTCCATGTTTGGTAAGCAAACGGTCGATTGACTTTCCAACAGCATTGAAATATGTATACATACTGTTGCCCAATCCGAAAACCTATAATCAGATAGGATTTTAAAGTTTTCAAAAATTAGATAAACAAAGATTTTGTTCATGAAAAGTTATATCTACAACCCATTACTTTTGCATATGTTCATTACTTAATGTACAGTAAAGATTTCTACAGAGATATACAGAGATTTACACCAGGTTACACTGAATCACTAAAACTTAGTAAGCTTATGAAAAACATCGAACTTTTAAACTGCTTTTCACAACTTTGAGGTTAAATCACTATTTCGATGAAATGCTGACACTTCCAGACTTTGTGAAAATGAAAACAAACCTCGAGTTATCATTATTGACGGTAACTTCATATCAGTAGATGCAGACTACTTGGTTGGGGTCGGCGTGTCTATCGTAACCAATGGTTGGAGACTCTTGGTGATATGGCTCAGAATTGGTCACAATGGCGTCGGTGTATACACTCTATCTCCCCTTAAAATAAGAGATTAAAATCGCTTCATATCTTTCTTTTTACGAACTAATTCTATCTTCCTGTACTATATCCTTATATGCAACCTTTCCTTTATATTACCACCACTGACTTAACCACTCCTATGAATCCGGTGTTCGTCTTGCGGTGCTAATGCGGTATGGCAACTTGGACCGATGCATATATGTGCCTGGTCTTACGTTGTAGCTGACTGAATAGCCACAATTCATAATCATACTGTTAGTCAATAAGCAGAAAAACTGTATTTTGGAGTGGTTTTATCCGTTTGCATAACACAATTGAGTTTTCTGGACTAATTTAAGATCAGGGTTTTTCAATTCTATGACTAATAACTAAGGCTGAAATAAGAAACTTATTAGGTGTTATACTGTACGCGACCTTTATGATCCCAGTTGGTCGTTATAATCAGTCCACAACTAGATATGAAAATTTACACCTTTGGAGCATTATTCTCATCAAAGTAGAAAACTAGTTAATTAATATGTTGCATCATAGTCTCATAATGAGTAGAGTGCAAAAATCTTTATTTATATAGCGCCTAACAGCTGGTCAACCAATCACACAATACTGCATGAACTTGTATACCGCCAAACTCAATTTGACTGCGGTTTGTCAATACACGGTCAGATAAGCTTCGTTACAAAGAATATATGAATTAACAACTTTTTGGATTTTGATAAGTTAGAATTAATCGACAAACACAACAGTCTAAACAATTTATTGTGAATGCTAAGGTATTAAGACAATTCTGATCAACAACTAGTTTTCCCTTATACATATTCTGCGTTATTTAATATTTTTATAGTAAAACCCAATACTTTGAATTGGCATCCTGAAAGGTAAAAAAAACTTAACTTATGCATAACAACGATTAGTGAATACTAAGAGTATTACCGCAAAGTGTAAATTATCCAACTTCTGGTAAGAATTCTTCAGATCATCCATAAAATGTTGAGCACTATCTGTTGGTTCACCTTCACCATAAGTTGCAACAACAAACAATGCTACGCAGGTGTCCAGCATAGACAAATTTACTAATATGTCCTAATAGAATAAATAAAGTTCGTATGTTATATATATGAAAGATTGTAAAATGAACTTCGGCATAAGTGCAGGACAGAATAAATCTCGGATACTCAAACTGATAAACAAAGTATGAAAATATCAACTAATGTAACCCACTGGCCAAGTTATATCTACCCTAGCTTAAATCACACTTTCCTGTATAAGGGCTAATGATATTGTCTGCCACACTGAAGTGGGAAAAATGGTTGAAACCCACAACTCTACGGTTGAAAATCGAGTGATTTAACCACTAGGTTACGTTAAATGAAACAAAAGCTTATTCAGTTTAGAACAATACACATACATTACTACATTTTAAGTAAATTAGGTTTTATCAAAATAATTATAAAATTAGCAGTCGTATTTTCTGCAAAATGTAGCAGTAAGTACATAAAGTATAGAAATTAGGAACGACAACATATACGCTATTTTTGGAATTACTGATAGTAGTCAGTATCCTAGAAAGAGATTCCCAAACGGAGGTGTATAACAAAGAAATATATCATGGGAATTCTACGGTAACTATCAAAAAGGAATGATATAACACAATTTTTCACAATAGAAATGTAAAATTGAGAATTTATGCATCACTGCTTTACGAAATCACCATTTATTTCGTCCATGAATACAGAACTTTTAAAATTCTGTTCAGAAACATGTAAAGTCAGAAACGTAATGAGACTTAGTAGTTTGTGTGAACTGTTGGTGCGCAATTTTGAACAGATGTATAAGAACGCGGTATTAGATCATACTAGCTATCCGCAAAGTTGTTTTTTAGGTACCAAGATCTCGCATCCATATATCAATTCGTAGATAACTTGTTGATTATCATATACACTCAATAAGGACTACATTACATTTGGTTTTGAATAAAATTACCAAATAACTTAAATGAGAATAAACAGATAAAACCCATTTCTACTGACGTTTATTTCGTTCACTTTGTTGAAAGAAATGAAATATCATGTTTATGGTACAAGAGTGACAGCTCTAAAGCGATCGTGTGATACAAAAAAATTACAGTAGTTCCTATCGTTAATCAAATGAAGCATAATTCAACCTGTAATATAACTGATATTCTATGATACTTGGGTAACAAGAACCAATTAAATAATGAAAGACGTCTAACTGTGTAATAATTATGTACTAAATGCTTTAATCGGGTAAAGAAGCATTTAAAAATGACAATGGATAAAGATGACCACATATACCTTTCACAATTATGAAAGGTATATGTTGTTTTACTTAAGTAAAACAACTTTGAGGCTCTAATATTTTTTCAAGGAGAAAAAACCAAAAGCAACAGTCAATAGATTTTGACGAATATTACGAAAAGAGATGAAAGTTTGACCCCTAGAATGTGTGAAATGATAGGCTAAATCATTCAAGGAGCAACATATCTAATATTTTGTTCCTCTTATTTTTCATCACACAATACCTTACCTAAACGCATAACAAATGGAAGGAACCATAAACAAAAATTTAGCTGATGTGGAAGCAAAGTTTTGCATTTTAACTTATCAGTCAGATTATGAACCATAATTGAAGTGTGAGGTCTGATGGTATAACGCTGTTGACCAAGCCGAAATAGATGGAAAGGGAGTAGAAGTTCGCCTTAACCAATAACCCACTAAGTAACGCTTCGAACAAAACTGATTAGATCAAGTCCAAACAGTGAACTAAGGAACGAGTGTTTAAAAGAAAACTATTTATTTCTAGTTAGTACTATAATGATGATTAAATCAAGATATTTTTCAAGTATGATAGTAAATACCTCACACAAATGAACATAACGACAGATTATTGAACATATGTTCAATAATACTGAACACATTTGCTGATAATTCATATATTGAAAAACTCATTTCTTCCTAAGTCTTCAATACACTATGAGATGGAATACCAGGAGAGATTGCACATTTGGATCTTACCATGTTCGTTTGTCTCAAATCCACCACCAAGTTACGCACGCCGCAGTTGTGAAGATGATGACCAAGATTAATAGCAAATTTTTTAGCAGTCCCTGTCTGAGATCCGTAAAATATAGACACTTTGATATCCTAAATACGATAAACGATCATTTAAACGAATATCTTACACTTCGATTGATTACTGCTAAAAGGTCTTCATGATTAGAACGTTGTGGTTTGCAGTCAGAACTAATACTACGAATCTTTTGTAGATGTTTATGTAAAATTCGCTTCAATTTATTGAAAGTTGTACACAACACAACGGTCACAACAACGACAGCATAAAATCCAAAGTTATCCATTAATACACTTGGAGGGAATATCTAAAATTGAGTCCAAGCATTGATAATAAGCCGTTATATTGAGACGGTTTTACACTGCACATCAGCGACTGAAACATAGAGATAAGGGGAAATAAGGATTTCAAGTCTATTAACAAACGTCCATGAAAGAAAATGCTTAATCACGTAAATCATGCAGCGATAAAGATGAGTATCTGTCTCATGAAACAGGTGCGTTAACAAATCACTTTCTATCATCCTCTGTCAACGAGAAAGACGTTCCGAAGCTGTACGACATGGCGACACAAGGTTATTTTCACGATGTCAGAGACAAAGTGATAAAGCGTAAAAGAAGGAAAGAACGGCAGGTATGTACTAAATTAAAGTGACAACTTTCCTTACGGCTCTATAGTTACAGTCATCAGTGTTAACGGACATAACCATAAGTTTAGCTTACAGTATTTGGTTGTGCCAAGTCATTCAGATATTGTTTTGACTTTTTCTGTTTTTTAAACTTCTGAATTCACAGGACGACTATTATAATTCTCCATAGGCAAACGAACGTGGCTGAAGGGAATAATGCGTGCAATTGTTTTGTTGTTCTACCTACATTTCAATGAACATTCTTTTGTCAAACAGCTTACTTTTTTACTTACATGAGAAACTATAGAAGTGTTGAGAATGTGTATTTGAGTGTCAGTGAAGTTTTGATTAAATCCACATTCCTTATAAATAATCCATCATCTGTTCCTTCTTTTGTAGATAATTTCAAATGACAATGAATTAGCAATTACAATGGATATGCAAAACAATCGATGCTTAAGCATTTGCTCTAATGTTATACAATAATACGCTTTTCCTTTTAAATAAAATTTTTCAAAAATATACCGTTTTTCCAGTGCATTGCAGATTTATTTTGGTCTGTTGTTGAAAATAAAGGTGAACATAGCAGACCTTTGGGGTTATGTCAATGGATCAAAAATAGGGAGTTTTGTGTGTACTTAGACGAAAAGTAGACAATTCTGCGGACATTTAGGCGAAAAGTAGACAATCCTGCGGATATTTGTGCAAAAATTCGACAATTCTGCGGATACTTATGCAAAAATTAGACAATTCTGCGGATATTTAAACGAAATTTCGACAATCCGGCGGATATTAAGCGAAAAGTGAGTAATTTATCGACAAAGCGTCAAAAAAAGGGAAATCCGCATTATTTCCCCCGGACAGGCGAAAAATGCGACGTTCTGGCGCGCTTTACCCTTTATTTCCCCTTTCGCTACCAAAGCATTTAACCCTTTACTTCCCCTTTGTTCGCCTTTATTTCCCCTTCTTTAATTGTCTGGGCTGTTTAAACAGTAATAATTCTTACTAATTAGTAAGAATTATTACTTCGTTCGAAAGGCCTTGGTGAAATAGGAGTTGACTTCGAACACGATGGATGGGGTAATTTCGGGACTTTTGTGCATTTTCCCCAAATTTTGGTAAGACTATAACTTATGGACAACCTTTGAGCAACGCCGAAGTGACCTTGAGTGTCCCCTTTTAAATAGAGTTTGTTTAGATGGGCATGACAAACTTATTTTGTAAATAATTTCTGATATAATTTGCGTTGATTTTGCCAATTCTTACAGTTAGTTTGTTTACAATAAAATGATTGTGCATGTTGTTTAAGTGCATGACTTGATCACACTTTTTTCTGGTGTGTTACACTCAGCATGATACAAGCTGTTAATTGTTCTTAAGTACACTACTATACACTTGTCTCTCGTTGTCCATTGCCTTTGGCTATGATAACTGAACTCTGAAATATCTATTATCTACATTTATAGACTGCAGTCACATTTGATGGCTACGGCGGCCTGTTTGAATATCTGGGTTACGTGTTTCTGCCATCTAATTATTTCATCAAGTTATCTGTTTTTCACTTATTTTAATTTGTCATTGTGTCTATTAATCGCATAACCTATACAGGCGCGTTTATGAAGTGCCTACGACCTTTCTCTGCACAAGTTACAAAAAAGTACTATATAAGACATCGTAGTGGTTGGCAGTGTGTGTTAAAGAGAATGAACATTATTCGTATGTGGATTCCCGATCTGCTAAATTCTAACTTCCGATCGCTAATCAACAAAGTGGGATATCTGCAATTCCTACTAAGTATGTATCGTAATTGTGATGTCTTCACAATTCAAGAATCTTGGTTAAATGATTTACAGATTGATTACTTAGTATCTTTATGTGATTTCAAAACCTATCGTCAGGATCGATCAAACAATAAATAGAGATGTGGTGGCGGTGTAGCTACGTTTTTAAACGTAAACTGGTGTCGATCTTTGTTTGTGTGTCTTAAGTTTTCAATGACTTTATCGACTGTCTAACTCTAAGATGTCGTCCAAAACATCTGAATAAATACAAATATGTTTATGTTACCAATATATGCATGACTCCAAACTGCATATCATCTGCGCTATCTGATTTCTCTGATGAATTCACTGAGTTCGCTGTTACTGCCTTCAGTGATTCCCTTTCGGTTGTATGTGGTGACTTCAATCCATGTGACTGTAGCTTCTTTACATCATTAGATCACCAAAATGTAAAAGATTTTTCTACTCGTTTGGATTCTCATTTAGACTTCGTTTTCATTAATGATGTGGGTATATATGCGACTCGTAAACGTGCTCCATTGTCTAGCTCGGATCACTGTATAATTCGTGTTCTACCTAAAGCAATTGGTAAGCATGGGAAGAGTACACTCTCACATCAAACCAAGAAAGTCAAATATAGGAATTACTCAGAAGAAAATATCTGAAATCTGCAAAACATGTTTCATACGACTAACTGGGAATTATTTACAGATGACTTACTGGAATTCACTACTGATATTATCACTTGTTACCTTAAATTCTGTTTTGATATTTGTTGTCCCACTAAAACCATTTTTGTAAGTGTTTATGGACTTACATCTTCGCAACTAAAACGACTTCGGAGGGTGAAAGAAAAAATGTACAAGGAGAAGAACTCTAATGAAGTTCATAAACTAAATGGTCTGATAAACCTGGAGATTAGACGTCTCAACTGTATGTTTACTCAAAAACTCTTGCAAAAGCTCCCCAAGTATGTGGAAATTCTTTAAAGAACTTACAGGTAACAGACAGATTGGTACGACAGTCATCTGATGTAATGCTCCCTTTATCCACAGGTTTAAATAATAGCTGTGTTCCTAGTTTCACTGAGACTGATGTACGAGGATGTCTCCAGTCGCTTAATTCATCTCGATGTTTGGGAACTGATGGTATCCAAAACATCCTTTTTAAAAAATGTGCTGACATCCTATGCTATCCATTCACGACCATCTTTAATAAATCCATCTCATCTAATCTCATACCGAAAATGTGGAGAAAGATGAAGATAATCCCTGTACCCAAGAAAGTATCTAGGTGATAATGTAAAATTTAGACCTATTGCAATAACTTTACCCTTCCTCAAAACCATGGAAAAATTAATAATACTCCAACTTCAGCCTGCAATAAAAGAGTATGTTCCTACCTCTCTGGAAGGGAACAGTACACTGTATTTGGAGGAATGTGTTCAGAGTCTCTACTGTCTCATGAAGGTGTACCACAAGGAGCTGTTCTTTCACCTCTTCTTTTCTCTTTTTTCTGCATGATCTACCATCTTCCACAGAAAACACTTTTGTGAAATATGCGGATGATCTCACTGTATGTATGCCTATCTCTTCTTCTTTACATCCAATAGAAATGAATGAGTTTTTGTCTCGTATTGATTGTTGGTCTGTTGGTAATGGTCTCATACTTAATCCGTCTAAATGTCAAGCTGTTAACTTTAGCATGAGACATGAACGGAATATAAACACTACTTTGAGATCCCATAATGCTTGTACCATTGGAGACTCTTTGATAAACACGGTGTCGAAGGTCAATTATCTTGATGTCACCTTTTCCTCTGATCCCTCTTGGTCTTCTCACGTTTTGTTGTTATCGAAGAAGGTTTTCCATCTAACTTACTACATAAAGAGATTGCATGCTCTTGGAATTACTCGTCATTTACTCTTACAATTTGTCAATTCCTGCATATTACCTATTATTCTTTACTGTTCTCAATTATTCTTTCCCGGGCTTTTGAGAAAACGCTTTGCTGTATTGCGGAGAGTGCTGAAGGCAGTTAGCAAGATGTGTGGTGAATCTTTCGAGGTCATAATTAATATGGTTGTGGATAAACATCTAAAGTCATGCAAACTCCTGGTAGGTGTTATTTTATCAGATACTAGCCATCCCGTTCACTCTTATCTTCCTCCTTGTATATCTTCTGGTAGAACGAGGGGTATTTACAATAAAATCCATGCACGCACGCAAAATTATAATAGTTCTATAGTACCTTACCTAGCAAATTTACTCTGTGACGAACAGGTTGTTAGAGTTAACCCAGTCAATGACTTGCATCCTTAACATGTCTCTAATTTGAAAAGTTGTACAGTTTTTCGGTTTTTTAACCTTTTTTCTATTTTTCTCTTTGTTACTGTTTTGTGCGTAAGTAACTTGTCGATATACTTTGTGCTGGGAATTCTATATTGTACCGAAATATAATATTGAATAAAGCCATTAATAATAACAACAATAATAATTCTACGTCTAGCCATATTACTGGAACCGTAACAACCTCATGGGAACTACTAATTATCTATGATTGTGGATTCTGATACCAAACGCGACCCGAACATGCACAAGCCTGCCGATTTAAATAACGTCTACTAACTTTTATTTGTGTTTATAACTTATAACTGATATATCATAATATTAACATTTGAACGTAATAACTTTATTGCTAATTTTGAGTTAATATATTTTTCGTCCGCAGTCAACTAGGCGAGGGTCATGAAACATTATGGGGGTTAGAAATATGGTTTACGGTTGATGGTTAAGGTTAAGAATTAGATTAAAGGTTTTCATCACGAACTCCAATTCATTGAGACAAAAACAGATTTTCAAGGATATTAAGACTCATCCGGATAAAACACCATGCCAGCGAAAAGCAGGAAAAGATAACTACAGACCATCAGCGTCTAACTCTCGTACGCATCATAATTCTAATGGTCGTAAAGTTAAGTCCGATTCTAAGAGGACGTCTAGCTTAACAATTTTTCCGTCACCGAAAAACTCTTCTGAATATCCTAAAGTTCAAAACCCAGATGAAAGTAAGCTTGATGTAGGTGGTGTCCATCCTCTTAAGAATGTTGACTTAGATTCAACCCGAAGTAGTTGTGCTGATGAAGAATGGGATATCACAATCCAAACCCCTGTTAGTGCAACACCCAGTTACAGTAACTGTGCAACGGATAACAGGAACACTAATCATGACATTCATATAACTGACCACACACTTAACGTTTATATATTCGAACCTTGCAAACCATCGCAAGTATTTTTAACAGTACACAATCCCCTCCAGCATATGAAGAAGCCGAAATCAACCACAAAACTTGGAAATAAACGTCTTAAACACGTTACCCATACGTCAGGTATAAATAGTTATCTGAATTGTAATTGGCCACTTGGTCAAAACCATAGACCTGATAGCTTTCTTGGTCCGGCTCCCAATATGTACACTATGCCCTTATCAGATGTTATATCCAATAGCAATGAGAAAACTTTTTTTGTAATTCCGCCGGCTTTCCTGCCGGCAACGGTAAACATATTTCACATGAAGACAAAGTGGTTGAATCTATTTCCCCTCGCAACACGACTCTTACCTTAGCTAATCCTATGAGTATTCATGGAACTACCAATTGCGATTTATACTCTAACCTGCTTCACTATGATGACTCTGAGTTTCTTATTCTTTCGTTCAATGCCCGCTCTCTGTTTAATAAATTTATTCATCTTAAAACTCTTTTATTCCTTGGAAATCCAACCATTGTACTTATTACGGAAACGTGGTGTAATTCATCTATATCCGATCATTCCTTGAATGTAGATAACTACGTTTTCTTTAGAACCGATAGATGTTATGGAATAGGAGGCGGTACAATTATCTATGTCCGTCCAGACATTCAAGCGTGCAAATTTGAGGATAAATCCCTTGATGCTATAGAAGACTCCACTTGGATTACTGTAAACTGTGGATCCCAAAATTATTTACTGGTGGGATGCATATATAGACCACCTCATGCGGATACTAAGTTTGACAGATTACTAAAAAAACATATTTTCCATTGCTTCGCATCAACCGCATACCTTTAAAATCGTCGGAGGTGATTTTAATCTGCCAAAAATTACATGGGGCTTGACTCCGGTACCAGGTCGATATAACAAGCTAGTTGAAACATTAGAAATTTGTGGATGGGTTCAACAGGTCCGAAAACCAACCAGGGGGAATAATACACTTGATTTAATGTTCACAATCAACATAGACTCTATCTCAGTGCATACCAGTCATGAGTTTTTTATGAGTGACCATAGAGTTGTATTGAGCATTATTCACCATTTAAACGCCATACAATTGAACTCTAAAGCTTCAAT